AAAACACCTGATTTAAATATGGCCGCCATCTCTGGTGAAGCTGCCCCCAGTGCTGCTGCAGCGCTTTTAATGCTCCTTGCAAGTCTCGTAATGTGAATATGTCGAGCGCCGTCAGCAGTGGGATCTGAATCTCACTCAACTGGATCCAAACCGCAACCCTTCAGCTTGACTTTCATTTTAAGGAAAAGACAAAAGGTGCAGGGAACCAAATCCAGCAAGTCGAGTGGATGGAAAGTGACAATTTTGTTCATGTAGCCAAAAAAAACAATCAATAAGCACGTCTGAGCAGCGACCAGCCTTTGCACCAGAGTTCAGGTCATTTGCACCGAATGTCTTCCTTCAGACTCTCAGAGCGTTACAGCAGATCTCTGCCTGGACAGTCCGACCCTGGGGGGCTAATTCTTAGAACACCGGAGTGAGAACTCCAGAGAAAATAACAAGCATGCTCCCGGTGTGTTCCTGACCTGACAGTCCTTGTCTTGTTCCACATTGAAGACTGCTGGTCCTTCTCCTGATGGTAGCCGCAGACCCTCTCCTTCATCAGTTTGGTGACTGAAGCCATTTGATATTTTTTGTCTCTGCTTTGGTTTGCGGTCCACATGTGCACCTACTAGTGGCCCCGATAATGCCCCCGTGTCGATGGTGGTGTTTTTACCACAGACTGTATAAAAGATGGACGTAGCTGCCGTGACGTCACCCGTTGGTTTCTGCACTGAGAACATGAAGCCAGGGTTTTGCTACTTCCTGGTTGACATCTTGGATTTTTGGAGCCAGTGATGCAAAACTTGTCGGAGGGGGGCAGAGCCATAGGAGCAGCGATTGGTCAGATGGATTGAGAGGCGGGCCCTCTCTGCCCCGCCCACATTTACCGCCTTCTGCTCGCTTCGTCTGTATGGTCGCTGCCGACTGTCAATCAAGCCAGCCACGCCCCTTGCCCCGCAGAATGTTGACGATTTTTTACAAATTCAGTATTGATTTATTTTCAGATTGGCCACCTGATCTCTGGATTTGACCATGAAAACTAATAAGAAAATAATCCTGAGCTGTAGGAATGCGGTATGTCGTGATCTGTGATCACTTCTTTTCCAGTTCCAGTCTATGGGAGCCAGGGCTTTGTGGAGCCAGCAGCTAGTGGACGTAGTGATATTGCAGGTTTTAGACACTTCCGGGTTGGCTTCATTTATCAGGGCCGGTTGCTGTGTCCATCTTTTATACAGTCTGTGGTTGTTACTGCTGGTAAAAGTTGTCTGACCCTGGTGTGCTTCCTTTATTGGTACTTTTTGATCACCTCTCTGATCGTCCCATACTGATCGCTGACTTTAAAGGATAAAAAATTTTACGCCGTGCTAAACAGTTGGCTGAAGGCTCCCATCTGGTTCAGTCTGGAGGACTTGTTGACTAGTATACACCCACAATATGCTGTTTATTATATGTGAGTTCTTCCACTCGTCTCAGGTTAAACATATCTTAGCATGTTTGCCATTAGTGGAGTACAGTGCTCTGTTAAATACCCCCTAACCCTCAGTTTTCACCTAATCTGGTTGGACTTCATTATGTGGAACATCTCAGAATAAAGTGTTGCTTAAAATGTTGTTCATTATAAGTTTTTCTCATCCGTCATCAATTACTCTGCGGTGTAGCTCGTCTTTTCTGATCTCATATTGTTTGATGTGATTACTGGCGCTGTGCAAACGGGGCGTTTCTCTCATCTGGCGCTCACGTGGAGTTCTTTAACTCACCAGCTTTAGCGGGAATGATTCCTGTCAGGCTGTGTCTCCGAGCTTCCCGCGGTCCTGCTCCGTTCGTTCAGACCCGAAGCGCTAATTCATAAGCCTCATCAGTAAACAAGGCCCGGTGACTCAGCGGGAGGAAAAACACATTCTGCCTGTCACATTTGAAAGTCAATGAGCTCCAGTGTTTCTTTGATACGTTGCACCAGCTCGCCACCAATGAGGGGAAATGCAGCGTACATTCAGACAGTCCCGTTCAGCCAGTCTTTCTCTCGGTCTTTTTTTTTTTTGTGATGCTAAGTTTTTAATGAGTTGTTGACACTGATGATCCCAAACATCTGCTGGACCCTCGCAGTTCATGATGGGATAAAACCAATTAGACAGCACCACCCCCGAGCCGGAGTTTGTTGGCTCTCAAGCATGTGTGAAACTCATCAGTTCGAGCTTCGTCTGCCAGCCGACTTCCCAACGGATGGCTTCTCCCCGCCTTTGTCTGCACGTCGGTCTGCACAGCCTTTTGTGTTGTCAAGGTTGTCTTTAAAGGAGCGGAATTGTTGATAGATTAAAAACATAGCGTACATCAGCACAGTGTGAATGCTGATCCGGATTACCTGAAGGCCTTGATTTGCATTTTTAAATTTGCTTCAGGCAGAGTTCTGAGGGGCTACATGGTCCTCTCTGCCTTTGTGTTTGAATTACTTGATTCACTTTTCTTCAAGAGCATAAAATAGATGATTTTCCAAACTAACAGCGCTGAATGTGTGCAGTAGCTACGAACAACTCGTGCCCTCGGGGAAGACTACTTTTATATGATAAACAACCTCTGTGCCCGTAGGGAAGACATTACAAACAGAAGGATAACTTTTATTATCTTTTTAATGTAACTTGGGAGGTGTGCGTTTTCAATTTGTGCTGACTTCGGTGTTGCTTCAGACGTCGAGGATTACAGGTGAGCGTTCAGTAAAACAACAACAACAACAACAACAACAAATGCAATTTCCTCAGCTGGAAAATATTGCAGCTTTGCAGGAAAAGTGTGCAGTTTGAAGTCTGTGCTGCTGAAACAAAACATACAAGAAAGAAAAAACAGACAAATCAAGAATTACACGATATTTATGGAAAATTCTTCAATTATGAAGTTTGTTTCCTTGAATGTGTAATCTTCAGCGTGTCAATCAGAGCTTTTACTATTGTTGACAAACTTGCATGAAGAGAGCAAAATTAACAGCGCATTAGTCCAATTTCTGGGATTCTACAGCTTCCCCGCCATGTGTGCAGAACTTTAAAAACGGGACACAATACAAGTAATTTTCTAATATTGCTGTTTTTTTTAGCTGAAAGGAGGATGAATCGCGTGTTTGTCTGAGGCGCTGAGATTGACGTGCCAGGATTTTATGAAGAACCGATTCAAATGAGACCAGAGCGGTCTCTCAGTGCAACCGTGTGGCTCAGTGTTGTGTTGTTAATTTTGGTTCCGGTCCTCGGCGCAGAGGAACAGAAGATCCGGCCGTCCAGGGAACGCTTTTTAGCCGGATTAAGTTGTTGTTGTTTTGGTCGTTCCGGCGGTTTTGTTGACGATTTCATAGGCGTTGAACAACACGAGCCTCGAAATTTGTGGAGTTTTTCAAATGTGCCAAATCACCCCCAGATTCCTGCCCACTGTTTAAAAAGGTATTGACTGTTATTATTATGATTTATCACGGGAATGAATGAACTTAATTTCATGTGACATGCTGTGAAGTCGTCCTCTTTGTGAATCATTAGACAGTCGCTCATAGAAAACACCAAACCGGGTCCGGTTCGTATCACTCGGAGGCAGACTTGAAGCTCTGTGCATGAGCTCTGATGCAATCTTTCTGTTTTGTTTAAAAAAAACAAAACATTTTGCACATTTTCTTCATCCCGAAGGAGGTGAAACCTTCATACACATAAACAAAAACCCAGAAGCTGAGAGCGAGCTTTTCTTCGTTTGGTTCGACACCTCACCAGACAAAGCCGAGCGCTTTCCTGCAGCTCTTCCTTTTGTCGTTTCAACCGAACGGCGGGGGAGCGGTTTAGAATTGCAAATGTTAATGTGCACCATCTACAGGCAAAGACAGTAAACGCGACTGCACTTGTGTCACCTGCAGTCAAAGAGGCTGCTGTAGAGCCACCGGTGGAAAAGCAACGCCGCTGATGAAACTTCCTGCCGTGCACCGTCACATTAAAGGCGTAGAAAAAAAACCCAACTTCCAGCCCATACACCTGCTAAAGCCAACACTTCCACTCCTCTCCGTCCGTACACATTTCCTTTCCTCACCTTCCCATAACACCTCATTCCACCGAATGGCAGAGCGGCCTTCCTTTCTTATCATCCGCCACAAATTACTTACTTTTTTTTTTTTCCCCAGCACCTTTTAATAACCCCAACAGGTTTTTCAGTCCATTCCCAGGCAATCAGAGCAGCACGGGAGGTCTCTAAGCAAGCAGCGCTGCCAGCGGCTTCATATCAGCGCAGCGCTGCCACTTCAACAAGGAAAATGTCACTTTGATATCTCCCCCTGGTCGTTGTCAGGGTGGGGAGTCCAACCCTGCTAATGAAGGGAAAAGGCAAAAGCTGTGGGAGGATGAAAACGGTCCCTGGTCAAAATCTGTGTACTCCACACCTCTGTTTGATGCTGCTCATTTATGTTTTTTTATGTGTGCTTATTAATCCCCGTCCTTGTGCTTTTGTTCGGTGTCATTTATTGTGTCATTATGTTTGAATTTACACATCAAACTTCTGACTGTCGGCTGCTACCCTCCACAACTTTGTTCTCCTCTCCGTGGAGACATCAGGAATGCAGGAGCACGTTTTGTTTGTCAAGACAGCTCAGCGCGTAACAATGACAGCGTCAGTACAACGCCAGCACGTGTTCCTCATTAGACGCCTAATCACTGCTAACAACCATGTGCTGGCTGGCGTTGTCGTTATTTAATGTCATGGTGTAACGCCTGTGAACGCACTTTCTAGCTAATCTTTGATCGTCTCAGCCGGTGTGGGACGAGATGATGTGTTGCAGCAGCAGCAGCGTTGTCTTTAGCAGCATTTAATGCACCGTCATCCGGCTAATTCATCAAAACAGTCCGCGGCAGACCTTTAGCTCGCGCGCGGCGGCGCACAAAGAGCTGCTGGTCGTATATCAGCCGGCGATGCTATCGCTTCACACTGTCTTTACTTTATCTTCATGGCTTTTTATGCTCATTTGTTTACCCCCCTTGTGTTTGTCATGTATTTGTCCTCTCATCCAGATGCTCCCACCACTACCCCTATACCCACCACAGCCACCACCACCACCACAATCATCACCACCACCATCTCCTCCCCCGAAGACGATCAAGGTACAGTATCACCCTCACACAGCCTCTTTATCAGTGTGTGTGTGTGTGTGTGTGTGCTCCCTTACTCCCAGTGCACTCAATCCCTCCACATATTTCCATCTTCATTCCTCAGTGGCACCATATTTGCATGCACTTCATTTTATTTTTATTTTTTTTTACCTGTGGGTCAAGGTCACCCAGTTGCTGGCATTTACCAATTTTTAAAAAAATTTATTCCAAGTGCTATTTATCAGGAAGAAATTAATAACGTAAGCTGCAGCAGGTGTTCGAAATCCTCAAATCTAACCTGGTATTCAAATAATCACGGCCCAGTTTCAGATGCTACCTGAATCTTTACCCGTAGATTCTGTTCACTGATGGAAAACGGAGGCGGCGAGCGGATGCTGTGTTGAGATTATCGTGTCACACATTCTGATCCCAAGGTCAAGAAGGAGTTGGAGAATAGTTTGATATTTTGAAGAAGCGCTCTTATGTGCTGTCTTTCTGAGAGCAAGATGAGAAGATTGACTGACTGTTATCCGTAAACGTTAGAGTCAGAGCTGCTGTTTCTTATTTTAATCCTCTGAACCTCATCGGCAGGTTTGAAAAAAATAAATACAATCAACAGAGCCTGAAACTGAACCAACAGAAGGAATCGACTCATTTTTAACTTCTGAGCTGCTCATCTGTCAGAACGAAATCCAAGCTTCAAATACATTTTATCAGAATCAGTTTGTTTTTTTAATTCCAAAATTTCCAAAATCCCGAAATAGATTCTGCACAAAATTAAATAAAGTAAATTCTGCTCTCCTAAACGTAACCGTGACGCCATCAGCTGCAACCAACAGATAAAAAGTTGACGTTTGTGTGTACGAGGCGGCGTTTTAACAGAGCAGCAGCATGTAAAAAGTAAAACATCTGCAGCACGTGGAGCCGATGTTCTTCCTCCATGTTTGTTCAATTTTTGCACAATAAATAATCTTTAATTCGGATCCATTCTAACAGTGTTTTCTCTCCACGTCCAGCCGTGTGGTTTCTGCAGCGGTGCAGGACTTTATGTTGTAGTAAAAAAAACTGAGCCCATAGTGAGTAAAAAATGTGAAGCAGCTCGAGGTTCAGAGGGGTTAAACTAACTCAGACTCCCCACATCCTGACCGCCGCTTCATTCTTAACACCCAGACGTGAGGTCGACGCGCTCTAATTTCATCTCTCTCACACTTTTAAACCATCCCACACATTACCAGCCGTCCTTCAGCATCACAGCGACGCCTCTGCTGTCTTCTGATTTGTTTAGAAAGTCACCGTCCTGTGTGTGTGTCGTCTCTTCTTCTTCTGTTCGTCCCGATAATTGCAATCTGTTTCCGTCGTCGTCCGCACACACGAGCGATACGTGAGAAAAGCTCCATGAAATATCGGTTAACATGGAAACATGAAACGGTAAAAATAGACTTGCTGGAATTTAGACAACCTCATCTACCACCATCATGAATTACAGCGCTCCGAGGCTTACGTGCCCTCATACCTTCTTTTTTTTTCTTTCTGCTTTCTGAGCGAGTGTGTGGGTGAGCGTGGCTGCAGGAGTTTCAGGCCGACGTTTGTGTCGTATTGTTTGCGACCAGGTGGTCATCCTCGCTGTTCCCCCAACCCCAGAAAAAAATACAAATCTTTTCACAGCGAGGGTTTCAAAAGAAGGTCAGGAAAGAGGGTTTTTTTTTTCTGTTACCCCCCAGCTGGGTATCGGCTGAACTGGCAGGATGCAGAAAGCAAGCAAATGAGTTTGATATAGCGTTTACTCACCGTCTTTTATATGAAGCACATCTCTCCTTCATAAAGTCAATTATGGATCATGCGCTCGGCGGGGGGAGCCGGAGCGACGGGGGTGAACAATAGCTGAACACGAGCACTTGAAAATTAGACCCCTTTTGAAATAACCAAATTTTATCTCGCTCTTTCAGCAACAGAACTCGGGGCTATTGTGAGTATAAATCTCCAAAGGGCGCAGATAGAAAACATCACTTTATGCCTCGACTCAGAAATCAGCCGGAGCTCCAAATGCAATCAAAGCCTCTCTGACAGACCGCTCAATTGGAACAAATCTCACAAGGCTGGCAGAAATCACAGGCATTGTGCTTGATTATGCCATCTGATTGGATTAAAGAGAATACCTATCTATGCGGGCTGATTGATAGCTCCTTTGCCTCAGATCAAGGAGTGTGGAGTCTGCACAGGCCTGCTCTGATTATAGCTATCCTGGCTGATTCACACTGAGATCTCTGCTTATTTGCAAAATGATCACACTTATTTATAATGTTCCCGCTGAGAATAATAGACTATCTTTGTAGGTAAATAATAATAATGATAAAGAAATGCATTTTGTAAAGATGACTTGCACAAAATGCGGCGAATTAGTCTGTGAATTAAAGCGAGGCTCTGAGAAGAAGGAATAAAAAATAAAAAACCTTCTCCTACAAAAGGGAGAGTTGGATTCTTTAGCGACAGAAATGCTGCTGGAGTGTCTGTTCAAAGCTAATCAGCATTTATTTATCAATTAACTTAATACAAAAAGCCGTAAACTGAAAACAAATAAATAACTGAGCGGAATCGCTGTTTGCTGTGACCATCATCTGCCTTTCAAACGGTTCTCTGAGGTGCCCTTGTGCTCGGCAGACGACTCGTTTCAGGCGTGCTGAGGAAGCTGTGGCTGGGCTTGAATTAAGACTTTGCTAATGGCTCCCGTTTGTTCGTGTTCCCGGACTGAGTCGATGTTGAAATCGGGGCTGCACCGCCTCCTTTCGCAGGATTCCTTGTTGTTCTTGTTGCTAAAGATAATCAGCATTTGAGGACATCAGCGCACGAATCAAACCATCTGAACCTCGTGCATCGTACCGTCGGATGTGTAACGCTGCTGGCTTCACTCATCTGTTAAAGTCACAGCATTGTTTCATGCAGACATGAATGTTCCTCCTGGTTCCATTCAGTCTTAGCACTAACACATAAGCTAATACATCTAAGCTAATTGCAAGTTTATCAAACTGTCCAAATAACAAAAAGTCTGATTTATTTTGGATTTAAGAAACATTAAAAAATGCTGCTTTTTGCTATTTTAGGAATGTATAGTAAAATAAAAATGTCCCAACAGCTGTGATGGAGTTCAATCTGAGGACAGCCGCTATGATGTACAAATGATTTACCTGCAGCTGGTAAACAGGTGGTTAGCATCGTAGCCTCGCAGTTAGAAGGTCGGTGGTTCGCATCCCGGTGAGGACACCCGGGATCTTTCTTTGTGGAGTCTCCATGTTCTCCCCGTGCAGCGTGGGTTCTGTTCGGGTTCTTCCTCCCACAGTCCAGAAACATGCTGAGGTTAATTGGTGATTGTAAATTGTCCGTAGGTGTGAATGTGAGTGTGCTTGGTTGTCTGTCTCTAAGTGTAGCCCTGTGATAGACTGGTTACCTGTCCAGGTGAACCTGCCTTCACCCTGAGTCCAGCCCCCCACAACCCTGGTGAGGATTAAGGTGTAGAGATGATGGATGGATGGTAAACTGTGGCTCCATGCAAAAGCTCACCTGTCTGAGTATGTTAGAGCTTCATTGATCCTGTCTCCATGTCAGGGATTATTTATTTTAATCACAGGTAATTAGTAAATCTGCTGCTGCAGGCGACCCTCCCATATGGGTCCTGCTGCAGGTGTTGAATAAACTCACAGGAAACAGTCGTAAACAGCAACAAACGAAATGTGAGCTCCTTCTAACATTTTGTCATAATTATATTTAATATTTGTGAGCTGGTGACCTGCTCCGGCTCCGTCGCTGTAAAGTTTGATCAGAGCTGAGTGAAGCTGCAGGGCAACGTGAAAGACGAAGGCATGCAAACTGTGTCTTCAGCTCGCTGCTTTTCTGAGACAACATCGGCGCTAAAATGTGGATAAATCGCTTCACCCGACTGGTGCGCGTCTATCCGTTAAGGCAGCAGCATGCAGGTCAGGCTCAGGAAAGCAGAAGTGACCCGAGTGCTCGTTCATGAGCGTTCAACTGTCATCAGATTTACTAAAAGTGGTGCATGCCTTAAAGGGGCCTGACGCTTTTCTGCCCTCATTCAGGTCACCCAACGATCTGCAGAGCAAATGACTCAAGAGAAGCAAAGTAAAAAAGGAGGAAATTCAATGTTCTTTTTCCGTAATTGTGAATTTCCCCCTCGGGGCGAACAAAGTCTTTTCTTATCATAATCGCCCCTTGTGGCCGCTGTTCAGCAAAAGCTTCATCGACTCTCTGCAAAGTGTTCGATGATCACTGAAAGTCATTTCATGGCACGAGCTGGTTCCTGATTTAGCAAAACATCGTGTGTGTGTTCTGTAATCTGGAGTAAAATATTCCAAAAACAAATCAGTCATAATACCACTGAGCTGATGTCTGTACGTTGTCTTTACAACGAGCTCCAGTGGGGCCGTAACCATGAGCAGTCAGTTTTATTTAGCGTTACCACTGATTGTTTCACATTTCAAGTGCATTTCCTGTGAGTTTAGCTACAAATCTGGTCCTTAACCAGTGCAGAACTACAGTAAATTAGACCCAAGTTGCCATAAAACTGAATTAAATCCAGCTCCCTTTTTGAAAAGTCTGACTTAAAATAGTTAAACAATAAAGTTCATTCTTGACCCAGGGAATAAAATAAAAAATAAAAATCCACTCCCCATCTAGATGCAGTCCAGACACACTGAGATGACTTTAGCATAAAACCTGTCCACGCTGCGTCTGACTCTGTGCTCATCTTTAGTTCAGTTTTCACGGCAGACTGAGATGAAAATCACAACCCAAAACGGCAGAACGATAACGACTGATGTGATCACCGCGTAGTACGTTGGCGAGTTATTTCAGTCCCCCGCGAGCGAGTCTTATGTGAGATGCGTGGGCTTCACCTGCAGTGCCAATATTTTCAAGTTGAAACAACGCGCTTACAGTTTGTGCCAGATGTCCTCTCTTTGCTTTCAGCTATCAGGGGCATTCCATTATTACAGTGCGTATAG